ATAGTATAATAATAACAAATTAAAAATTAATAATAATATAACGATAATTTCTAAATAATTATATAAATTTCAGATCCCATTAACCATTTTCGAATAATTTTAATATTAAATTTAGTGACAAATCTAAGCTCAATAAACAAATACCCAATTGAAATTCTTCATTATCGTTGTCTGAAATAGTTGTTAATAATTGGTTTAATTTAGTACAGTATAATAATAATAATATTTAATACGTATAATTTTAATACTAACAATAAGTATCATAATCTAAAGTATATATATCATTATATTGTCTATCATCGCTATTATCATTATCTTCATTATTGTCCTCTAATAGCATTTCTAAAATATTTGCTACTGTATGAGATGTTGAAAAATTATTCACATTATCTTCAAATGTAACATTTTCTTGATAAAATATTTTATTTTATTAATAATAATACTATATGAAAATTAAAAATTTTAATAAAGTACTTTAATTTTGACTTCTTGAAGATTTAGACGATGATAAAGCATCATTATTGTCATTATTATCGTCATTTTGGATATTTCCTTTATAAATATTTTTATTTTTTTAAAAAACTTAACAATACTATATAAAGATTAAATAATACTTAAAATATTAATAAATTACTTTGATTTGGGTTTAATTTATCAACATCCTCATACTCATTTGCATCCACATCCTTATCTGCATCTTCACCTTCATCTTCATAATATGATGATTTTCTAAAAGATTTTTTTTGTAACAATTTTGATGAATTTTTTTGTAAAGATACTTTTAATACTGGTTTTGTTTTAGATGAAGATTTTGAAACTTTCGCTTGAATTTTCAAAGAAGATTTAGCAACAGTTTCTTGGGGTTTTGAGGATCTTGGTGGATGACCACGCTTTACTTTTTCTACAATAGTTTTCATTTTTTAAAAAATATAATGATAAAGAAATATAGAATTCAAAGCTTGTAAAAAAAAATTAATGATTTTTTGACAATATTTATTTTTTATTGTTACTATTTATAATATTTTATTAAATAATTTAAATTTTTTGTTTATATATTTTAACTTTTATTTTTTAATATAATTATAATTGCTATTAATATGTAAGTTATTAATTTTAAACTTTTTGTTTATATATTTTAGCTTCTTATTTTACAAAGTCAAAACATAGAAATCTAAAATTGATAATGATTTTTCAAACTCAATTAATTGATTAATGGCGCAGTCACAATTGATATGGTTTTGATTTTGATTTTTCATATAACGATAATAATTTTAATTGATTTTAATTGTATGACGTATAACAAAATTAATTTTATAGCTAAAATTTATCCCAAAATAATACATAATGATAAAATAACGATAATAAATAAATACTTTAACCATATTGTAATATAATATTATTAAATCACATGTGATCACTTGATATCCAAAATTTCTGGTGATGTAATATGATTTTTTTCCGAAAGTATTTAAATGACAGAGATTTTCTGAAACTGGATAGAAATTGTTTTATGTAAATAAAAATTTCCATAATTTTACAATAAGTTTTGTGCCTTGATCCCAACATGTTTTAGAGTGATTTTTTTGGCAGGCCTGCCAGGAACTATATAACTAGATAAAACTCAGAGAAAAACCTATCAGGTTTTGATATATCTCCAGTTTTTTATTTTTATACTAGATTTGATAATATAATAAGCAGCCAGATAAAAACCTGAAACATATTGGATCCTGATATGTCTCCGGTTTTTTAACACATTTAAAATTAAGCAGTATATTTGGTGTATGTAACAAGAATTTATTGTGAAGATTGTTCTTTCAAATAAGGTAAAGCTGATATGAACAAGAATTTACTACTTGTTAACTTTGAAACCTATTATCAGAATGATTTATAATTAATAAAGTTTTATTACCATTAAGTTATATATTAATTTAAACTTTTAGAACAATTTATAATTTCAATTAATAAAATTTTTATTAATAAGTTATATATTAATTTAAACTTTTTAGTTGCATATTTTTAACTTGTATTATACATTAAAACGATTTATAATTTCAATTAATAAAATTTTTATTAACATGAGTTATATATTAATTTAAACTTTTTGTTTACATATTTTAATTTCCAGTAATTTTTTTCATATGTACATCAATTTGCGTAACTCTACATATATCAATTTTTTTAAATTTTGAACAAGGATATTCCGGCAACCATCTAAGCAAATTTGATAAACTTTTTTTTGTTTTAATTATAAAGATATATAGATTTAAAATAAAAAAAAAATTCATCAAACTTGCTTAGATAGTTGATGAGATATCTTCATTTAAAGTTTGAAAAACGCCTATTAATCTGAAGTAATAATAAAATTTTTTAAAATTTTGAACAGGATATCTCAGCAATCATTTAAGCAAATTTGATAAACTTTTCCCGTTTTAATTATACAAATATGTAGAATTAAACCAAAGAAAAGTCCATCAAATTTGCTTAGATGATTGCTAAGATATCCTGTTCAAATTTTTTAAAAAATTTTATTATTACTTCAAGTTAATAGGTGTTTTTCAAACTTTAACCGAAGATATCTCGTCAACTATCTAAGCAAATTTGATGAACTTTTTTTTATTTTAACACTATATATCTTTATAATTAAAACAAAAAAAAAGTTTATCAAATTTGCTTAGATAGTTGTCGGAATATCCTTGTTCAAAATTTTGATGTACATAAAGTCTTATCAATATAACAAAATAACAATAATATTATTTATAGTATATAAATTTATATGTATTATTATAAGTACCAAATGTATAGTTATAACA